TATTTTATTTTTTTGCATTTTTATACTTGGGTGGGGCAAAGGCAATATATGTTTCTTCATTTTTAAAAATAAATAGTAAAAGCCATAATTCCTATCGACTGTGCCCTAGGATCGTGCTACTTCTCTGTGTCGTAACCAGTCAAATTAAAGAAGAGAAGTAATCATTCTGAATTATTCCAACCACCACCACCATATTCGTGTGTATTAGTTGGTTCTGTAAGAGGAGGCTTTAAAGGAGCTCGAACAACAACAACAACAAAATTATTTCTGTGAGCTGTGGTAGCAAACTTAAGTCTAAAAAAACAGGGCATGGGAAAGTAAATGTTACTTGAGAAATCTGAGTATCTGTGTTTCGTGCTGCAAATTTCTGGATTATCCCAAATAACCTGATGTTTTCTCCTTTCACCTGTGTATTTGTGTATGTGGGTAGACAGAGTTCATGATATTCAGAAATGTGGGCAAATGTGGCTGCAATTTCCATGCTCCAGAGTGATTCCTTTGAAATATTCGAATCCAGCTGACTTAAGTGAAAAGTATTAGGCACCTGTGTCTATGGAATGGACGTATGCAAAGATATATATGTAGAAAGCATTAACTTCCATATCCAGGTATAATTATTAGTATCATCCATGTACATATCCATAATTAAGAATTTATGAGGCTTTTAAAATGTCCCCAGCTATAAAAATAATGTGGATGTACCTTGCGATTTTGAGTGTGCCTCAAAGCTGAAATGAAGACCTTGTCATGGATTAGCTTTGGGAATTCAGCAGGCCAGCCTTGTATCTGCTTAAGAGAGGAAGCCAGACTTATCAGTCACTTCTATATATAAGATTTTGTGTTAATGACACATTTCATAATATCCCCATAGTATAATTATTGATTTTTCTGAAGCTTATGCAGAATTAACTACCCAGCCTTCAATTGTCTCTCAGAATGGGGCATGAAAAGTTCACATATTTTGTAAATTAAAATCAATATTTTCAATCTTTCCTAAAGGTAATTTTCCTAATTTAGTGCACTTTTCCCTAACATTTATTTTCTCTTTTAATTATAAAATGGCAAGTTATTGATTTTCGTATATAACCTTTGGACGCCCCGAGTGCATTTTTATTGCTAACGCAGGATGGGGGTGGGGAGATCCATTGCACCTCTTAATGAGGACCTTTAATTACTAGCCGAACGGTATTAATTTGCTTTGATAAATTATGACATTCTCTCTCCCTCTCAACACACATGCCGAGAGAAGCATTTAGAAAGCTCTCATACAAGGTCTTTCGTTTTGGATGTTTTTTTTTGAATTCTTATCAAGTCATACTTGTAAGAAGTCTTTTAAATGCTTATCCAGTGTGGATCTCCAGAGCAGATATACATAAATCAGCATATCCCATGAACATATATAAATCTTCTCCAAAGAGAGACAAGCGTTTTTCTATAAAGCTAAACAGCATTGATTATTTTTCCTAAGCCTAATCATCATCATACTCCTTGAGGCTTATTCTTAAGACAAATGATTGATAAAACAAAAATAATAATAATAATAAAAAAAGGCCACTGCAGTGGCTCACACCTGTAATCCCAGCACTCTGGGAGGCCAAGGCAGGAGTATCACTCAAGGCCAGGAGTTCAAGACCAA